AAACACAGAATTACCAGATGATAAGTCATTAAACTCCTAGGTGTATACCTCATAGAATTGATTTGAAAACAGATAAACAATTACTTGTACACGAATGTTCATAGCAGTACTATTAACAATAGGTAAATGTGGAAACAACGCAAATATCCTTCATTGGGTCACTGGATAAACAAAATGTGGTATATACGTACGATCCAATATTTAGCCATAAAGAGAAATGAAATACTAATACATGTTAAAATGTGGATAAACATTGAAAACATTATGCTAAGTCAAACATGCTAGAAAGAAGGTCATATATGATTCCATTTATATGCACTATCCATAATTGGTAAATCCATAAGACAAGTGTGGTAGTTACCAGGGGAAACAGGAAGAGGGAAATGGGAAGTGACTGCTTAATAGGTGCAGGGTTTTCTTTTGTGGGGATGAAGATGTTTTAGAATTTAAGAGGTGGTGGTTTCACAACATTGTGATTGTACTAAATGCCACTGAATTGTAGACTTACAGCAGTTAATTTTATATGTGAGTTTCACCTTAAAAAAAATTTTAGAAGAAAAACACTACATTAAATTTTGTTTCCAGGCCAACCTTCCCCCAGAAAAAAGTAAAACCAAATGATAAAAGACAAACTGGAAAAAATTTGCAATTTATTTAAAAGATAAAAAAAGCAAACAGTTGCCATGGAGTTGATTCATATAACAGATAAAGGGCTATGTGATAGTTACTGTTATGTGTCAACTTGGCTAGGCCATGATTCTCGGTATTATGTAATTATCCTCCATTTTGTGATACAATGTAATCACCTATATGATGTGATCTGATGTGATCAGCCTATCAGTCGTAAGGGAAGTTTCTTCAGGGGTGTGGCCTGCACGCGAAACATATAGACATTCTGGAAGATCTCATTTTCTTGCTCTGGATTCTGTTTCCAGATTGTCACCATGTGACCTCCGGTTTTTCAGACTTGAGCCATCAGCCTGTCATCTGACCTGGCCACTTTGGGATTCACCAGCTCTGCAGCCCTGTGAACCAGCAGCCTGTAGTCTGATCTGCTGATTTTGGGATTCGCCAGCTCTGTAGCTCAATGAGGCAGCAGCCTGTTGTCTGCACTGCTAACTTTCACATTCACTGGCTTCTGGAGCCCTGGGAGCCAACAGCCTGCTGTGTGACCTGCTGATTCTCAGATTGTCAGTCCCTGCAACCACAGGAGCCATAATCACACGTAGCACCTCGTTCTTGACGCTAACTGCATTCTCCATTCATTGAAACCAGGGCTTTTAGAAGGATTAGCTGATCTCAGGACTGGGGCAGGGCAAGTACACAATGAGCCTGGACCATGTAGTATTACAGAGTAAGTATTCAGAGAGCTCAAAGCATGATGAACACAAGTCAGAGTGACAGAGAAGATTGCTTGAGCAGGATTTCACTAGACCTGAAGCGATTTGAGTGTTACATGAATAATAGTAGTAAATGTGAATCCTTTCAATAAGAATTCATATATCCATACTGGTATAAACAAACGAGATGTGGAAAGCCCTTTGTTATGATAGAGTGCCAACTAATATACGTGGAATAAGTTAGAAAATCACCAATTTTATATCCATAACAGTAATAATTTAGGCCAAAAATATCAATAAATGTTAAGGCAAACATAAAAATTTGATGGAGAATATAATAGTAACATACTCTGAAGGTATCTCTCCACAAAGTTCATTGAAAGGGACTTTACAGTGGAGAATCCTGGAGGCTTAATCAACTGTTCATATGTAACACCACCAGTAATTGTAAACACTGACATCTAGTACATCCTGATAATGATGCCTTAAGAAGGACAATATCATTCCCATTAAATTCCTGCCAAAAATACATAATGTAAAATCTAATCATTAGGAAATATCTGACAAGTTAAACTGAGGGATACTACACAAAATAGCTTTACTCCTTGGGAACATCTTTTTTTTGAGGAAAATGAAAGTTTCTTTCAATCTCCCAGTAGATGCTCCATTATATCTCACTGGCCAGTTCTATCCATAGACATCCCTGGCTGCAAGGAAGGTGGGAAAGGGCAGTTTAGCTTTTCTATGTAGTGAAGGCAAGTAAGAAAGAAGGTCCTTGTGATAGGCAGTTGCTTGACCAGCCTACAGTGTCCCGGATAAACCTACATCGATGTTCGTTACAGCTTCGTTTAGAATAGCAAACCTACTACTCATCAGGTAGCATGCTAAGTATTTTTTGTTTCACCTAAAAACTCATGTATTTGAAAAATTTGGGTTTATTAAGTATTGCTGCAAGGGAGTACACACACCGTGAGGAACCATGAGGTGTTATAAGGTTATGATATTGTTCGAACTATTATGGAATTTGGGCTTCTGTCATTTTTTCCAGTGATTTGGGGCAAGGTCTAAGGAAGCTGGGTTTCTGTCTACATTGTTTGTTGTCAGAAAAGCAGGCACAAATCTAAGACTGAGTACCTGTATAAATGTTATCCACAGGGAGAACAGACTAGAGCAAAGATAAAGCCGAAATTGCTACAGAAGCAGTCATTCATTTAGCCAAGAGAAGGGAATGTTAGATATTTTGTGAAGGCACCAAAAAACCAAAATCCCACTGCCAATGAGTCTATTCCGACTTACAGCAACCCTACAGAACAGAGTAGAACTGTCTCTAGGGTTTTCAAAGCTGTACATCTTTACGGAAGCTGACTGCCACATCTTTCTACCTTGGAAGTGTGGTGACCTTTCAGCAGCTGAGCACTTTAACCACTGTGCCACCAGAGCTGTCTTATGAAGGCAAGTGACCTTTAGTCTGTGCTTAAATAACATTATGAAGTGGCCTTGTTTTGTCTCACCTTAGCATGGTGTTACAGAAACCTTGTCTGAAGTTTTTTTTGTTTTGAGGTTGTTTATGTCCAATTAGATAATAATATGATCTAGATGTGATCATCAAGCCAGCTTTTGAACGTCAAAGACTACTCTTTTTTAAATTATTTTCTTTCTCAGTTTGTTCAGTGCAGCATTGTGGAGTCATCAGTTGGGAGAAATTAGATTTTTTAGTGACTGACATTGGAAAATATCTAGAATATATTGAGATTTTTGTATGTTTTCATTTTTGAAAAAGAAATACGTAGATGAAAATGTGTATTTTGAAGAGAAAAGCAGCTGATTAACTTCAAGTAGTATTTAAGGTGGAATTTTTCTTATCCTCTATAGTATTTTTAGTTCATTTCAACTTATATGTAAAAACATGTATTATAATTACTGAATACAATGCAGATACTTTAGCCAAAATATATGAAGGTAAAAAACTTTTAGCAGTAAATCATCTTCCCTCACCTGCAGAATTCTCTTGAGTGTTCTCACATCAAATCATAGGCTTTGGGGTTCAAGAATGACCCTAATGTTGGGACATCTACGTCAATTGGCATAGTAAAATTTATTAAGAAAATGTTCTGCATCCTACTTTGGTGAGTGGCGTCTTGGGTCTTAAAAGCTAGTGAGCAGCCATCTAAGATGCATCAATTGGTCCCAACTCACCTGAAGTAAAGGAGAATGAAGAAAACCAAAGTCACAAGGAAAGTATTAGCCCAAGAGACAGAAAGGGCCACATAAACCAGAGACTGCATCAACCTGAGACCGGAAGAACCAGATGGTGCCTGGCTACCACCAATAACCGCCCTGATGGACCACAACGGAGAGTCCCTGATGGAGCATGAGAAAAGTAGGGTGCAGAACTCAAATTCTAGTAAAAAGATTAGAGTTAATGGTCTGACTAAGACTGGAGGGTCCCCAGAAAGCATGGTCCCTGGACTCTGTCAACCCTGAACTAAAACCATTCCGGAGGCTGACCCTTCAGACAAAGATTAGACTGGACTATGGGACATAAAATGATACTTGTGAAGAGTGTGCTTCTTAGCTCAAGTAGACACATGAGACTAAATGGGCAGCTCGTGTCTGGAGGTGAGTTGAGAAGGCAGAGTCAGGAGCTGGTTGAATGGACACGGGAAATCAGGTGGAAAAGAGTGTGCTGTCACAGTATAGGGAGAGCAATTAGGGTCACATAACTATAAATTTTTGCATGAGAGACTAACTTGAATTGTAAACTTTCACTTAAAGTACAATAATTAAAAAAACAAACAAACACACTTTAACTAAGATGATAGAGGACACAACAACGAAAGAATGACCCTAATGCCGAGCTATTCAGTAATTATACTCGGAGATGTTGAATAATGTATTAATTTCTCTGAAATTTCGTGTTTCCTCCTCCAAAGTGGGGAAGATTGTTTTTCTATGACCTCAGTGCTTCCCCTCTGGCGATCACAAATAGTGGTAGTTTTTTCTGCCAATCTAGTGGTACCAAAGGGAGTTGGTACCTTCGTTGCTCCTCAGTGCCCCTGCAAACCTTTCTACTTCTTCCATTCGTTAAACTGTAGGCTCATACTATCAGATTATATTAATACTAACCAGGTATTGTTGTGTGCTGTCCAGTCAACTTCCCAGTCCTAGCCGCCCCAAGGAAACCCTGGTGGAGGTGTAGTGATAAGTGCTATGGCTGCTAACCAAAAAGTCAGAAGTTCGAATCCACCATGTGCTCCTTGGAAACTCTATGGGGCACTTCTACTCTGTCCTATATGGTCGCTATGAGTCAGAATCAACTCGATAGCAAAAGGTCTTGAGCGACCCCATGTGACAGAATGTAACTGCCCCAATGGGTTTACTAGGCTGTGACCTTTATGAGAACAGATCGCAGATCTTTCTCCGCAGAGCAGAAGGGCTAGGTGTGGTTGAACCGCTAATCTTTGGATAAGCAGCTCAGAGCTTAACCACTTCACACCCAGGTCTCCTTACACTGACCGTTACCCTCCTCCTTTGAGACATCTACCGATCCCCTAAAACGGACATTCCCCTTGGTTCCCAGGCACTTCCGCTCAGGCCAGCCGGTGTGCGGAATTCTGGGAAATGTAGTCCAGAAGCTGTGAGCACTTACGGCACATCCGCTTCAGGAACGTGAGGTGGCTGCCATGTGTTTCCTCGTCGTGGATGTTTCGCCCTCTGTCTGGAGACACTTCCAAACTTTCTGGATCTGCGTTTGGCACATGCAACGACCAGGACGTCAATTTAGTGGAAAGAAGTCGCGGCGTAAATGGAGGTTTGAAAGGTGAGGGCGGCGGTGATTTCCCTTCCTGGAGACTTTTCCATTTGGGGTGATTCGCGCGTTCCCCTTTGGGCATGGGCGCGGGTTTTGTCTCGCCTTAGCTGATGGTCTCCTGCGCTCTCAGCTCCCCAGTCCAGTTTACTCCACCTTGCACACAGGCTGCCAGTTCCTTTCGGTACAGCATTGGGCGAGTTACTTAAATCTTTATGTCTCCAGTGCGCTTCTGTAAAAAAGGAATATTAGTAGTTTCGTGAAGGAGACTTGGTGGCGCAATGTTAGACGCTGGGCCACTAACCGAAACGTAGGTAGTTCAAACCCACCAGCCGCTCCTCGGGAGAAAAGACTTGGTGATCTGTCTGCTCTTATAATAGAATTGTTTTGAAAATCAAAAGACGTCTTATAAATAAAAGTCTTAAAACAAATCCTGGCACATGATGGATGGTGATTATCTCGTTGTTACCCATAAAATCCCCGTTGCCGAAGACTTTCAGGCTGTTAGTACTAGTATTTAATTTCCTGAGAAGCGTTTCTCTAGGGTACCTGTTAATAATTAGGAAACTGAAGCCCGGATGAACACAGTGATTAAGTCTTCTTTCACAAACCCCTGTGTGATAAGACATAGGTTAATCAAAACCTCGTTTAATGTTTGTGCAAAGAGTTTAAGTTCAGCAAAAAGTAAATTAGCCTTTGCCCTTTTTTCCTGAGGGGACATTTCTAGGCCTTTGAAATTTCCTGGGTAGTTGAGATATTTCATTATTTTAAAATCCTCTAGACCATACCTGAGGAATTGTGCAAATGAATGGGGGCTTGGCCAGGCCAGAGACCACTTAGATTCCTGCTGCCAGCTGTTCTCAGAAAGTGGGCACTGTTCAAACAATCGGGTTAAGGTTGGCTAGAGATATTTTCTGTTGTATTTCATTCTCCTTGAAAACCTCATTGTAAAAACTAATCAATGACAGTGAATTGGAAATGTGGAGGTTGATGTATTGTGGAATGTGTTTATGTGTATATTTTAACCACAATTAGAAAAAAAGGAATCTCATTGTAACTGCCTCTCATTGGGCCCCCATTTTTCATAAACTGAGGGGCTTTCCTATTTGCATAGGTATTAATGGTTGAAATGAACCTTGTATGTTTTCATTTCTTTGTTCTTTATTTTTTTTTTGACACTTTGAGTCAGGGATGCAGTCAGAGCTCCAACTGCAGTGACCCTGGCCCTCCTTTCCTCTGAGTAGGGCTGGAAGATTGATCCCTTATGACCTCTTTTCTTAGAAAGGAGATGGTTGCTTCCAGCTGGTCAGAAAACCAAACCAATGGCTGATGAGTCGATTCTGACTCATAGCGACCCTATAGGACAGAATAGAACTGTCCTGTAGGATTTTCAAGGAGCGGCTGGTGGACTGGAACTGCTGCTCATCTTTTGGTTAGCAACCAAGCTCTTAACCACTGCACCACCAGGGCTCCAGCTGGTCAGAGTGAAGAGAATGAACTATGTTGTATAAGGGACAGTGATGTAGTCATTGTAATTCACAGCCTCCTTTCTTTCATCAGCCCCCAGTTCTCCAACAGGACTGCATGGAGGTGGAGGCAGTGACTTTTTGGCTACTGGTAGGAGAGCCCCAGGTGAGGAGAATTTGGGGTTCTTTTTCCACAAAGATTTTCACGTGTACTCTAGAGTGTGTGACATGTACTCTGGCATGGGTTAAGATTTAGTTGCTAAGTTCCATTCTACGGCTTTTGTATGGATTAGTACCGATCAAAGAGAAAAATTAATAACAGCCATCTTGCTTTGATTTTAAGGTTTTCTTACCCATGAAACCAAATATTCACTATAAAGGAATCCGCAACCAAATTTCATTCTGCCAGTGCCTTTTGTTTTATCCAAAGTTGCTGATCTTTTCTTTCCTGTTCCCAAGCCAGGCTTGCTAAGTTTGAATTTCAAAAGGCATAGCTGAAGGTGAGTGAAAGGCCTGAGACCACCTCATGCCCTGATATCACTTGATCTCAGTAAAAGGGGAGGCCAGGGTTCAGTCAGTTATCCTGAGATTGGCTAGTGATGTTCTTTTCTCCTCTTCTCTTTATAAGCTCATTGTAACTGACTTTTCAAGCCGTTTACTTTTTCTGGAATCAGAATGCTCTCTCTATGTGCATATAGAATAACTACTCCCAGTAAACCTTATGTTTCAATTTCTTTGAATTTTGATTATTTTTAACACTACTTGATTTCCCACCACAGCTTTGTGAAGTGGTGCTGTTTTTTCCCTATTTTAAAGATGACTTATTTACCTGTGGAGCCCTGGTGGTGCAGTGATTATGAGCTAGGCTGCTAAACAAAAGATCAGCAGTTCAAATCCACCAGGCACTCTTGGAAACCATATGGGATAGTTCTCTGTCCTACAGGGTCGCTATGAGTCAGAATCAACTGGATGACAACAGGTTTTTCGTTTATTTACCCATAGTCACCCAACTAGTAGGAGGCAGAGTTGGATTGGGAACCTCACTAGTGTGAGACCTGAGCCCGAGTTCATTATCTCTCTGCTGTATTCTCCATGAGCCACAGAGAACTCTCTAGAATCAAATTGATTGTACCTTCAAAGCAAGGCTAATGGGCTTGAACGTTTCTCTTAGCTTTTAAAAACCATTCTCAACTGTTTCATTTGCTTCCAATTAATGTTTGTATCTTTTTTTTTTTCTTTAGTGAGGCTTCCCTGCTCTTTTATTAAAGGTCCCCGGCAGAGGTTTACTTTTTCTACTCTGCTGACTCGTTGACCCTCTTTGCATGGGTGCTTAGAGCCGAGCATTGGCACGGGCCATGAAAAGACTGGCAAAGGCTATGAAGTCCTTATCTTCCTGCATGACGACGCTGAATTTCTCCTCCTTGTACATGTTCCGTATAAACATCTCTGGTACTGTCAGCTGAGTGGCCAGTTTGAGTTCCTGAGTAGAGCTGTCTCCCTTCTTGTGGGGATTGATGGCTTCCTGGGGAAGAGAATGAGCTTGGAGTGGTATTCCTTCCGCCACTGCACATTGGCCTGCAGGGAATCTGTGGACTTGTTCCACCTACGTGGCTCCATAGAGATCCCGATGGTCCAGGCCACCATCTTGTGGGTGCCAGCCACCCTCAGCTCTTCTAAGCTGAAGCCCTAGGCAGCTCAGACTTTGGTGTGATACTTCACCATGTGGCACTGCACTATAGGCGGATAGATCAGGATGCAGGGTGCTGTGGGCTTTTGCTTGTCAGGCCTTGTGTCTGCGGATCTTCCACACTGGCTGGTTGAACCATGTGGCCATGTGCCGCTGCCCATCCTTCTGGAACTGGTATTTTCAGGATATGCCGTTCCGGCTGTGTCCCGTGGCTATCTAAGGCCCTGCTCCAAGGGAAATCACCTAGCGGAAAAGCTCTTTTATATTCTTATAGGACTATATGATTGTGGAGAATTCAGAAAATACAGAAATAAGCAAAGAAAAAATTATTTTTAATTACCGATGACTCCAGGGTATAAAGAACGTAATGTAAAACTTGAGGTGCATTTCTGTATAGTGGTTCTTTGTGGAGATTTGTATATTGACTTATATGTAAACATTTAACAGAATCGATATCATAGTTTTCTTAATATTTTTACCCTTAATCATTGTTATTTAAGGAGATTTCCAAACACCTCCAAGAAAGAGTATAGTAATAAGCTGCTGTATAGTGTCATCATCATCTTTATTTTCATTACTATTGTAATTAGTAAGACTACTTCCTCTTTTTTTAATGTTTTATATTTATATAATTTTAAACCGTTGGAAAAGTTGTAAAAAGAACATGAGTAACTCTCATATACCGTATACCCAGATTCACCAATTGTTTACACTTCTTTGCTTTGTCGATGACTGTCAGCTAAGTACCATCAGGAATATACCTGTAATCAAAGCCAGGTTGTTGTATCTTGCTGTAGGTAGGAAGCCCACACATAGCGGGGAATGGTGCGATGCCATTTTAAGAGGAGATGAAGAGGGGCTGGTTATAGCGTTTTAGCATGATCTGTATTTGTTAGCTGCCTAGGTTAGCATAATGTATAGTTGTTAGCTGCTTTAGAATTGGCCCCAACTCTTAGTCACCCCTGCACAATGGAACGAAACACTGTACGATTTTGTGCCAGTCCTCTGGTTGTGGATCTGACAATGTTTCATTGTGATCCACAGGGTTTTCATTGGCTGATTTTTGAAAGTAGATCTCCAGGCCGGCCTTTTCAGTCAGTCTTATTCTGGAAGGTCCACTGAAACCTGTTCAGCATCATAGCAACACACAAGCCACTACTGACAGATAGGTGGTAGCTGTGGTACATGAGGTGCATTGCCTAGGAATTGAACCCAGGTCTCTTGCACAGAACGTGAGAATTCCCCTATTAAACCATCAGTTTCTCATAGTATAATATACAAGAAGCTTTTAAATGCTATACTAAGTAAGAGTAGTTAATTCTGTTATTAGACAGTAGAAGGTATCTGTCTTAGTTATCTAGTGCTGCTGTCATAGAAATAAGCACAAATATGTGGCTTCAATAAACAAATTTATTTTGTCACAGTTTAGATAGCTAGAAGTCAGAATTCAGGGTGCTGGCTCTAGGGGACAGCTTTATCTCTCTGTTGACTCTGGATGAAGGTCATTGTTTATTTACAACCTAAGTTTCTTGGTTCCTTGGAGATCTCATGAGACTTGGCATCTATCATCCCCTATCTCTGCTTGCTTCTTTTGTGCTTGATCTATTCTTTTTTAAGACACACCCTGTCCTACACTAATAGTGCCTTATTAATATAATAAAAGTCATTTCCAAATGGAATTCTAACCACATGTATAGGGGTTAGGATTTACAACACATATTTTTGGGGACACAATTGAATCCGTAACGTTCTACCCCAAAATTCTTGTTCTTCCTGCAGAACACAGTCACCCATTCACAGTTTCCTCAAAGTCTTAAATCAACTCCAAGTCCAAAATCTCATCTTTTGAATCAGCTAAATCAAATATGGATGAGACTTTAGGAGTATTCCATCCTGGGGAAGATTTTCTCTTCATCTGTGGACCTGTGAAATTTAGAATAGAAGTTATTTTAGAGTACATTGATGGAATGGGCACAAGGTCAATGTCTCGATTACAAATGGGAGAAAATTGGAGGGAAATACAGTAGCTCTCAAGGCTTGAAAACAATACTCTGTTTTTCCCAGACCATCTGGGCAGTGGTCCCGCCCTCAGACTCTGGGTGTTAGCCATGCTGTCTAGATTCTGGGTGTAGGCTCTTCCGGCTCTGGGCAGAGGCATCACCTTCCAGGCCCTGTGGTATGGAAACCTCGCCATCTGTAACCAAAGACAGATTACTTAGCTTGCTGCAGCAAGGAAGCCCACACACAGCGGGATATCATGGGATGGCTTTGTGAGAGAGAGAAGGAGCTGGTTATAGTTTTAGCATAATATATTGTTGTTAGCTGCCTTAGAGTTGGCCCCAACTCATAGTGACCCCATGCAAAAAGGAATGAAATTACTGCCTGGTCCTGTGCCATTCTCTTAATTGGTCATGGATCTGAGAATGTTCCCTTGTGATCCACAGGGTTTTCATTGGCTGATTTTCAAAAGCAGATCGCCAGGCCTTTCTTTTTAGTCATTCTTAGTCTGGAAGGTCCACCCAAACCTGTTTAACATCATAGAGTGATATCTTTGCATGAAGTACATTGTCAGGAAATCATATCCAGGTTTCCTGCGGGGAAGGCAAGAATTCTACCACTAAACTACCAATTTGTCGTAGCATAATATACTGTGAGCTTCTAAATGTTGCACTAGATAAAAATAGTGCTGTTATCTCTTAGAGACGAGTAGGTAACAGATTAGGAAATGTACTCTTATATAATCCACAATCCATATTTAAATTTGTTCTCTTGTCCAAAAATAAGTCTTCTATAAAGCTTTTCCTCTCAGTTCAGGGTCTAATTTATGCATTACCTTTAGTCCCTGTTTTTCTGTACTCCTTTCTTCTAGAATGATTCTTCAGTCTTTGTTTTGTATTTTTTAAAGTATGGGCAAGTGACTTACGGAAAGGACTTCATTTGGGGATTATCTGGTATTTTTCATGTTTCAGTTCAGATGACACCTTATTAGTAGCGATACCACTTAAGTGGTGAGGTGTCTTTTCAGTGCAACATGTCAAGAGGCCAGTGATGTGGGCTTGTCCCAGTGTCGGTGATCTCAACATTGTTCATTTTGGCTTAAGGTGATATCTGTCAGAATTGTCTACTGAAAAATTACTATTTTATCTTTTGTAGATTATAAATTTTGGGGAGGTACATTTAGTATTGGGCATTCTACTGTAAAGACCGGCTTTTTCTTCCCTATTTGTAATTCATTCTGTTATATATCAGTGTGGACTCAGAACCCACTCGGGTTTTCAGTTTTGGTCCTTTGTGATTAATGCTGCTATCAACATGCACGTGCAAGTCTTTATACGGACAGGTCTTTAAGTGGACTTATGTTTTCAGTCTCCTGGGTAGATACCTAGGCAGAGTATTGCTAGATTCATTGTAGTTTCATGTTTAACTCTTTGAGAAACTGCCAAACTGTTTTCTAAAGTGACCTCATCAAACTATTTTTTTTCCAGAATCTTGTGTTTTTTAGTAAAAACTAACATGTTTTATTTTTCTCCGCGCATGTTGATCTGTTTTATTCCTTCATGTTTCAATTAGTTTTATCAAAGAAACGCATAACCTTAGTTGAAAGCTTTCAGGGATGCTATAAGATTTGCCAGCATTAGTGTTGCACCTCTTTTATGAAGATTAAAGGTTCTCTTTAGGGTTTTTCTGCTTAACACTTTAAAGTCACCAGTTTTCACACCTTTTAGAAAATAATTGCCTGTGCCAGTTTATATATTATTATGAAGAACTATATTACAGAACACAGTCAAGCCCGTTTAACAGAGTTTTCAGAGGACACATGGGACCTTCACTCAGCAGCAATCACATCAGAAGTCCATGTGTCTGACCATGTTACTTTGGTAGAAATTAAATCTGTAAGGACAATTGCCTACTACATAATATCATGTGATTTTCTATACCTGCAAAGAAACAAGAACCCTGATAGACTTCTAAGAGTTTTCCCCCCTGCAACAGTCCTGTCAGTGAGTACTCTTTTACTTCTTGTTTTATAGATGACAGAATTGAGGTAAGGAGTTGTTACTAATTTGCCCAAGATGACACAGCAAGGGAGAAGTCATACCAGGGTTTCAGCCCACATATATGTGTTGACCCCAGAGCTGAGTCTTATTCAGTATATTGTCTCAAATGCTACTGTGCCAGAATCACAGTTGTTACCTTGGGGGCCACAAGGCAACTGGTGATGGGGGGCCACTGTGTGTAACTGTGCAGAGTGTTCACTGAACCCGAACTCAAAGGGGTCAAGGGCATCTGGTGTCCACATCATGCTCTGTGCATCAGGCCGTGTGCAGCTGCAGCCACCTGGACATAGGGGCTTCTTGGCTAATTCATAATGAGCATCCAGGAAGGTGAGTGACATCCCTGACCACCATTTTATGTCTTCCTTCTCCTTCCCTAGTTCGGCATTCCCAGGACTCTGCATATCTCAGGACTCTGTACATCACCAGAAGTAGGAAGAAAAGTGAGCACGTTCATGGTGAGTGGGACTTACCTTTTCGCTGTGAAAATTCTTCTCATTATGCAGATTGGATACTCAGTTTTCTGATTCTTGTAAAACCTCAAAGAGAACAATAGACATTTGTGTACCTTTTGTTTGCCAGGTGTTTGCTTTATATGTTTTTGGCCTACCTTCTTTTTTTTTTTTTTTTCTGGTATTTTACCTTTTTTTCCCCCCAAAACAATGAGAATAAAAGAAGGAACAGGAATGAGCAGTTCTTACACTTTAATACTCCCTACTCACTAGTTAGCTGTTTTTATTTTCTCATATTCTTTTCTTCATGTACTTTCATAAATTATTTGTATTCATTATGTACATCTTATTTTAACTTGTCCATTATTTCATTTACTTTTTGAAACAATTTTTTTTTGAGGTTAGTTACATCGTTTTCAAATTAAATTGTTGCACCTTTGTATTTTTTTTTCCTTTTTTATATCCAAAATCTAGAAGGGGCTTACAGACCATTTTCCTTCAAACCCCTCCTTCTTTTTTTTTTTCTTTTTTTGGATGTGTTTATGGATCTTCCATGACCTTGCCTTGGTCAAGTTGTGCCAGCTTCCTCAGTATTGTGTACTGTCTTTCCTTTCACCAAAGTTAACACTTGTCTACTGTCTAGTTAGTGATTTCCTCTCCCTGCTCCTCCCCTGCCTTGTAACCATCAAAGATCATTTCTTTCTGTGTGTAAACCTTTTCTTGAGATTTTATAATAGTGGTTTCATACAATAGTTGTCCTTTTGTGATTGACTTATTTCACTCAACATAATGCCCTCTAGATTCATCCATGTTGTGAGACGTTTCACAGATCCATAATTTGTCTTTATTGTTGTGTAGTATTCTATTGAGTATATATACCGTAAGTTGTTTATTCCTTTGTCTTTTGATGGGCACTTAGATTGTTTCTATCTTTTTGCTTTTGTGAATAATGCTGCAGTGAACATAGATGTGCACGTGTCTATTCATGTGACGGCTCTTATTTCTCTAGGACATATTCCTAGGAGTAGGATTGCTGGATCGTATGGTATTTCTATTTCTAGCTTTTAAAGGAAGTGCTACCTCACAAAACTCAAGAAATACTATACTCCCCAAAAAAAACCCCAAACCTGTTGCTGTTGAGTCAATTCCGACTCATAGCAACCCTATAGGACAGAGTAGAACTGCCCTATAGAGTTTCCAAAGAGCAGGTAGAAGGTCAAAGGTAGAAAGGCATAGGGTAAGATTAGGAATTGTCCCAGTCAGGAAGCCTCCCTTGTCCTCAAGGACAGTTCACACGGCTGACACATCAATGTGTAACAATACAAAGAATATTGTCAACCAGGGAACGTCACTTGTGTTTGGTGCCCATAATGTTGTTGGGATTTCATTATGTAGGTGTGATTGATTGAACTGAGGCCACATGATGAAACTCAGAATCAAGCCATGTCACCATCCTAGAAGTTAGGCTGGTATCATGTGAGTCAAAGCTCCAAACATCTGATCACATGGTGGTCTTTCTGGTGTGGCCCACCCCCATCCTGACTCATCTTGTTAGCATAAACTACCAGGTGTGATCTCTGGGTTGGTGGCGGGGGGCATCAGGAATAACAAATACACTCTAATAACTGAGGAAATTCCTAGGGTTTAGAGGCTACCTTCCAGGAACCAGACACAAAGGCCAACCAAATACTTGGTTTCACACCTGGATTTCTTACCTGGAATACTTTGCAGCTATAAAATGGGTTGAAACAGGTACCAATTACGATACTAATAATTAATTCTAATAGTAACAGCTATTCTTTATCAAGCATTTATTCTGTGCCACACACTGTTGTAAGTCGTGTATGTGTGTTTGTGTGTGTACGTATATGTATATGTGTTTCCTTGTTTACCCTTAGAAGAAACTTGTACAAACTACTGAACCATCATATAAGGAGGAAACTAAGATATGTAGGGGCACTTGTCTAGGGTCACCTGGCTGTCAAGGGACAGTACTGAAATATGTACTCAGGCATGGTACCTACAACTCAGTACGTTAAATGTTGGAATTCATGGATGTGGTGTGTGCCTTGAGAGTTGAGAAAATGTACTACATACCTGTCCAAGACAGGATACCAAAACTATATTAGTTTTTCAAACATTAAAGAAAAGTGCTTCCAGAGTCAGTGTGTGTGGTAAGAGAATGGGTGATGGTATCAAATTGTATTGAAAATAAATTGACCATCTTTTCTGAGGCAGTTGGCAATATGAATCAAAAAGCAAACCATGTGTGTCTCAGCATGCAACATTTAGAGTTTTAGGGGTTTCCTCTCAGGACACCAAGTGAAAATACAAGGGCTCTCATTCATTGCCCTACTGTAGGTGAAGCTAAGGAAAATCAGTGAATGGCGTTGGCAAGATAGACGGAGAAGGACTGTGAAATCTACAGAATGACTCTTGTTCCCCGAAATTTGGAACAACTTCCTCTCATTCTCCCAAACCTTTCAAGTGGGTGATAGTTCTTAGACTGGGTATACTTGTGCTTGATGTTGTAGGAATCGGTGACATTCAAGGACGTGGCTGTGGTCTTCACTGAGGAGGAGCTGGGGCTGCTGAACTCTACCCAGAAGCAGCTGTACCAGGATGTGATGGTTGAGAACTTCAGGAATCTGGTGTCAGTGGGTGAGGACAGCCTCTGTGGAGGGTCTTTATTTCCTCAGATTTTCAAGGCTTTGAATGGTCTTGGAATGGTCTCTTGAGTTTGCGGAACTGACTCTCTTACCGATGATTTTTTATGAAAGAAAACACGGTAGAAAATGTCAAGGTTCATTAGGAAGGAAGGAGCACATTGCAGCACAGACTCTGGCCGTTTGCATGTGTGTTGTGAGAGCCAGTAGGAGGAGATTTAATAAAACAGACATTGGTTTAGAAGTAGTTCAACCTATGTTTCAGTAATACATATTTACGTGTATCTGTCTGGATCTTTTAATAAATGGTTTTTATTCAAATAAGTCATCTTAGAAAAAATGTTAGAAAAACACTCCTTTGGATTACTTCATGAGTATGCAGTAGGAACACAAATTTCCAGTAAATTGTCCAAGTTGTGTGTTGATTTTAAAAAGGTGACTTTTAATGTACCCAGGCCTCCAACCTTTAAACATGATACATGGCACAACCAAAATGAAACCTGTTGCCCTTGAGTTGATTTCGACTCATAGTGACCCTGTAGGACAAAGTAGAACTGCCCCATAGGGTTTCCAGGGCTGTAACCTTTATGGAAGCAGACTGTCACATCTTTCTCCCATGTAGCGGCAGGTGAGTTCAGTCTGCCAATCTTTTGGATAGCAGCTGAGCACTTAACCACTGCACCACCAGGACTCCTGTATGCTGCTTAGAAAGAGGGAAGAATGCTTTCAGTGATAAACACAGCAACCTAAAGACAAGGGAATTCAATTCAGATCAGAACCAGCCACTCAGAATCCTTGTAGATGTTTGTCCATCTCTTACTTTTTGCCTCCCTTCTTGTCATCACCCTTATTCAAACTGCCAAATCTTTCTCCTGGATTATTACAACAGCCTTTCTACTGATTCCCTACTTGGACCCTGTAAAACCATGTGGAGGCACTGTCTGACCTCCTCTAACTTCACAAGAGGGAAGGAGAATCAAGATCAACAGCACAAGGCTGATTCCTGTGAGGTGGAGGTCAGACATCCCTCCTCTCTCCGCCATCTTTACCAATTCTGACACCAACCGTCCCTGCCACGGCACTCACTACTTCTCTGCTGGGTTCGATAATTCATTGCAACGGCCACACACAACTCACTGAGCATACTCTCGACTATAGTGTTTGTTAGGAAAGTAACAGATTACAGTTCAGGCTCAGGAACACTCAAGGATATAGTTCTTCCATCAGGACAGCCCCTTCCCAGCCGTGCTTGCAGGCACGCCTCTCTTTAGCCCTAAGCCTCTGCCCAAAGACACTCAGCTTTCTTGCCTTGTGGGTCAAGAAACCCACTGCGCTGTCTCTCCTTCTGCTGGGTCTCTGCTGCCACATCTCGAGCTCTCTGTCTCCTGTTTCTAGGAGCTTCTCAGTGCAGGGATCCTAGGTCCAAAGGACACACTCATTCCTGGCTGTTTTTCCTTGGTCCGTGGTAGTATCTTCTCTTTCCTGCCACTAGGGTAGCTCATTTCAAGCCCAGCAGGATGACAAAACTGACCAATCCTTTTGGTAGACCACAATTACTCTACCACACAGTCACGGCCAATCAGTTGGGTGGGAGTTACAAGACTATGGCTAGAAAGGCCATATTAAGTAATTCGTTATGCCACACACCCTTTCTCTCCTAAATTGTGTTTCCCATGCAGCCACTGAAGTGATCTATGGGAAATATAAATCAAATTAAGTCATTCTTCTACTCAGAACACTTGGTGGTCTTACGTTTCTTAGACTGGTTCATAGAGTCCTTCATGGTCTAATCTTCAGGCCGTACTTCCTCTCTGAATACTCTTTTTCCTCTTGCTCAGTGTGTACCTGCCACATTGTCCTCCTTGTTTCTCAGATGTACCACAGATGTTGTGTTAGTCTCTTATTGATGCAAACTTGGTGGCCCAAAACAACACAAATTAATTATTTTACCATTGTGTAGGCTGGAAGTCCAACATGGATCTCAGTGTGCTAAAATGAAGATATCAACTGGGCTGACTTATTTTCTGGAGAATGTAGGGAAAATCCATTTCCTTGCCTTTTTAAGCTTCTAGAAGCTGCCGAGTTCTTTGGCTTGTGGTTCTAGCTCTCCAATTGCAAAGCCAGCAACATTGCATCACTGAACATCCTTTTGTGGTCAGATTTTCCTCTGACTCTCCTGCCTCGCTTTTCCACTTTTAAGGATTTATTTGAATACATTGAGCCCACCACATATTGTAGAATAATCTTCCTATTTTAAGGTTAGCTGATTAGCAACTTAAATTCCATTTTCCATCTTAATTTCCATTTGCCATGTAACCTAACGTATTCTCAGTTTTGAGA